ATTTGTAAAAATACATTTGCAAAGTTGGGCAAAGCATACATTTTTTTAGGCAGAAAACAAAAGATTTCATGGAAAAGAATAGTTAAACAGAATTCTATGTTCATATTTTGTTAAGGCTTTTTCCCTAATGAGCTCGCTTGCCATTTTTTAAATTTAATAAAAAAAATTGTTTATGTAAAACACAAGCAATAACTTTTAAAGGAAGATGAATAATTATGGCGATTATGAACATAAATGCAATTCAAGTCAATTTCGCTCTATAATAAAAACACAGTAGCAAATAAATAAAAAAGATAGAGAAACAATTGACCAAGTCGTAAACATTTTAATTTATTTGATTGCCCTGGAAGCTGGGCATTTTTATTATAATATAGCTCAAGAAAAGCTCAAATATTTTGAAAAGAAGGCCTCTTATTAATGAGAATACAAGCATGCTGAATGACACCGAGACGGCAATTATCACAAGCAACAACAACACATAAAGCCAAACCAAATACAAAGGGAAATTCAACAAGTGGCCTCGAACAAAAGGCATAAAATGAGTAAATGCAAACGGAAAAACTGTTGCAAGGACAAAAGCGCAAGGAAAAGCAAGCAGCAGACAATGGCAAAGCAAGAACCCATAGCGTATACGTAGTAAAAGCCAAGCACAGCTCAATTGTAATATTAAACAAAATGCTAGCGCTCTTGCCTTTGCACACACACACATTTTCTCTTATTTTGCCCCCTGTTGTCGCTCTTCTTTTCGCTTCTCACACTTTGGTTGTGCGCTCGCATTATGCGCTCTGCCAGTTTAAAACTCAATAAACGTTGCAGTATGAAAAATTACTTAATGAAATTAAGTGTGATAAGTGTGAGTGCTGGGCGAGAGCAGCAGGAAAAATCAGGAAACTCTGGAAAACGGAGAAACACAAGCCGCTCAGGGTATGTCGAGAGTAGCACCTAGGCAAGAGGCAACAACGCGCAACAAGGCTCACACGGCACTCGACACAGTTGAGTGGCAAGTGAGAAGACGACGGGAGACTGTAAATAATAATAAAGGCATGACTTATTGGTTTGGCAAGGGGACCACAGGACGGCAGGACTTGAGTCCTGTACGACCAGCCACTGTTGAAAGTAATTCCTATTAACGGCTTAGCCTGCTGCAAGTGGATTTTGATTGGACAATCTGCAGCACACAACAGCAGAGCTCTGTAAAGGGCTATACAATTTCTTATTATATGGGTGTAAGTTGACACAGAAAAGAGAAAACGTAGAAATAAATGAGAACTTTATGAAATATTTTTTCTCATCAGCAGTGATTATATTTTTCATTCATTCTTAAGTCCAAAACGATTTAGTTGGGATCTAACAGAAGTGTTATTAATACTTACATTTACAAATTAATCTACATGATTTTGAGGCATGCCTAAAGTGTGTTTTAGCTAAGAGAATTTATTATTATACTTCAGTGAAAACGTCCTAATGAACACTTCCTTTGAGCTTTTCCTGCTATTAGGTTCTACCTGACGGTCGCTGTCCGCCCAAGAGAGTTGTCACTGTAATATTTTTTATTCGGCCATTCTTTACGCCAGCTTTTAATTTTGCCTAATGACATAATTTTCCATTAAGCTTAATTGCGTTTCATTTTCTCATCCTCATGTTAAAATGCTGTGAAAATGTGGCAGACGAGAGTTAATAAGTGTGTCGTCACACTTTTAAAATATACTAATACTAACTTGAAATAAAATTTACAATGGTCAATTGATGTCTGCTAAAAATTCTTTTGGATTTCTTCTGATCGAGTTAAAGATTACTTAACCTAAAATGATTGGCACATGCATTACCATTTTTTTACTCCTATGTGAATTGGTTCCAGTCCTTCCAAATTAAGTGACCTGTACTGTCTTATATTTCCCATCTGATAAATAATTTTCTAGTTGCAATCATTTTAAAAATATTGATAGCAACACGTTCCGATTAATCGAAGAATGCTGTGAGGCATAAAGCATAAAGATTTAAAGAGCTGCCACACTGCATTAAATAAGTGCACATGGAAAAATATATAGAGTTGCCAAACTGCATTAAATTGATTTATTACGGTGCAGAAATTAGAGAAAAGTTTTTCATCAAGCTTTGCAGAAAAAGTTTTTATATCAGGACGTTCTCTTTGTTATAAGTATCTCTATTTCGATCTCCACAACTAGTTTTCAGTCGAAAAACTTGAAGAAAGCATATATAAAAATTGTTGACTAGATTGTTGTAGCGAAAAGTTTTTTTTATTCAGAACTCGACAATGGCAGCCATAAGTCTGTTGAATCCCAAGGCGGAAGTCGCTCGCGCCGCTCAAGCGTTGGCCATTAACATTACGGCGGCGACGGGTCTGCAGCGACTGATGGCCAGCAACCTGGGACCAAAGGGCACCACCAAGATGCTCATCTCGCCGGCCGGCGATATCAAGATTACCAAGGATGGCAACGTGCTGCTGCACGAGATGCACTTCTGTCATCCAACCGCTTCGATGATTGCCAGGGCCAGCACCGCGCAGGATGCAGCCACCGGGGATGGCACCACCTCGACTGTGCTGCTGATTGGTGAGCTGCTAAAGCAAGCGGATCTGCTCATTGCGGAGGGACTGCATCCTCGCCAGCTAACCAATGGCATTATGCAGGCCAAGGATCAGGCCATACAGCTGCTACAGACGCTCTCCATACCCGTTGAGATTGAACGCGACATACTAGTGGCACTAGCCCAGACCAGTTTAAGAACCAAAGTTGACGCGAATTTGGCGGATTTGCTGGCCAAAATCTGTGTGGATGCTGTGCTGAGCATACGCAGCGACAGGCAACAGCTTCTGGATCTGAATATGATCGAACTCATGGATATGAAACAATACACAACGCTGGAAACTCAACTGGTGGAAGGTCTTGTGCTGGACCATGGTGGGCGGCATGTTAACATGCCCACATACCTCGAACAGGCGTACATACTCACCTGCAATGTGTCGCTGGAGCTGGAGAAGACCTCCGTCGATTCGAGTTTCTGCTACAAGTCTGCCGAGGAGCGTGAGAAATGCGTCGCCGAGGAGCATCGTTTTATCGATCAGCGTGTGGCCAAGATTATCGAGCTGAAGCGAAAACTTTGCAGCAACAATATGCGTGGCTTTGTGGTCATAAATCAGAAGGGCATCGATATACCCTCGCTGGAGGCATTTGCCGGCGCTGGTATTCTGGCACTGCGTCGTGCCAAGCGCCGTAACATGGAGCGACTGACCCGTGCTTGCGGCGGCGAGGCGTTGCACTCGCTGGAGGATCTCAGCGAGGAGCATCTGGGCTATGCAGGCTTAGTGTATGAGCAGCAGCTGAGCGAAACGAAATATACGTTTGTGCGGCAATGCCGCAATCCCACCTCTGTGACCATACTGATTCGATCTCCCTCGGGTCACCAGACTGACACCATTAAAGATGCCATTCGCGATGGACTCCATGCCATACAGAATACCATTGAGGATGGATGTCTGGTGCCCGGCGGAGGTGCCTTCGAGCTGCATGCCTACAAGGAACTGGCCAAGTTCAAGCCCTGGATTAAGGGTAAAGCCCAGCTGGGGGTTCAGCTGTTCGCCGACTCGCTGCTCGTAATTCCCAAAACTTTGGCCATCAATAGCGGCTTTGATGTGCAGGACACCATCGTGAAGCTGACGACGGCTGCCAAGGAGAGTGAGCAGCTGGTCGGGCTAGATTTGGACACAGGAGAGCCAATGAATCCAACAGAAAAACGCGTCTTCGATAACTACTGCGTTAAAAAACTAATGCTGAACTCGTGCTCTGTCATCGCATGCAATCTACTGCTGACTGATGAGATAATGCAGGCGGGCATGACTAGTTTCAAGGGCTAACGGAGATATCAAACAAGGAATTTATAATATACAAGAAATACTAATAAACATAAATTGTTTTGGATTAATAGAACCGACCTCATTTTTTTTTTTTTTAAATTGTAATGTTACTCCTTTGCATATCTTACAAATTTAAATGTCAATCGACAGTCCTAATCCAAACGAGCTTAAAAGCTACAGCATTTAAAAATCAGACTTAATGTACCCGAGATATCACATTTTTCCAAAATTTTACATGACAAGCTTAGTCGAATAAAGTCCAATCTTGAAGCGAAGTGCATTTTTGGGCTCGTGAAATTTATTAAGATTAGATAATCAAAAGTTATCGGTATAGAACCCATCCAAAATTATGAAATATTGATTTTTGAGTGTATCTGGTTTAAACGAGTGTAAATATATAAAGCTCTGTATTGCATTGACTTATACTTGGCCCCTACCAATAGAATACACAAAAAAGAACTCGGAGCAAAATGAACCAAGTAGAAATACCTCAACTTAGAAGAATTTCCAATAGCCTATCAATACTAACAAAGTTACCAACTGCAAAAATCAGAGCTCAGCTCGTTTTCTCAAGCCAATAAATACACGTATGCCTGCGGTACGGTATGCCATCATAGATGTTGAGGGAAACTCGAGGCGTTACCCAAGGCACACATTTGATTGAAACAGTTGCCCCAACTAGACAAGCACGAACACCTTGAATATGCCACTTGGGTAAAATCTGTGTTTTGCGAATGGCTGAAAAATATTGAAGACAACAAACAAGCTGCCAATGGAAGGAAGGCAACATGGCACAACATACGCACGAGTGTATTTGTGTGTGTGTGTGTGTGTGTGTGTGTGTGCTTGTGCCGGCATGCAATTTTGGCGCAAATTCAATTTCCATTTTCACTTAAAAGTTCTTAACTCGCTTTTTTTTATGCCATCCGCTGCCCGCACACAAAGGCTGGCCAAGTTTGGCTAGGTCGACTGGTCCGTTCAGGATTGAGTGTGGAGTTTTCGATGCCGAAGTACATAAAGATGCCCTTGAGGCAAATTAAGTGATTTGCTCACTTTACACATTTTTCGTGCTGATTACTTTTGCTGGCCCCGAAAGGGCAGAGGTTAAAATTAAATTGCCAAAAGAAAAAGTTCATCAAGTCTTGATTAGGCCGAAAGGTTAACAAATGTGCCGCTGGCTAACGTGAATTTAACAAAGAAGAAAATATATCATATATATCTACTAATCAGGACTTCGCACGCTGCTTTTGCTTGGCCTCCTCCTCGGCATTCTCCTGCTTAATGACCTGCACCAGATGAGCCACCACCGCTGGGCTGACCATCTCCAATGGCTGCTGGTACTTGAGCACGGCCAGCTCATAGAAGCTGGCATTCAGGGATGTGGCCGTGAACAGGGCGCGCACCACATGCTTTATGGCAGTGGCATCGTCGGGCGAGCTGGCCATGTCAGATGCATTCTTCTCCAAGTACTCACGCATTGTTTTGCCCAGACGACCTGTCGTATTGGCCGACCACTCGTAGTAGATGCCCGAGGGCTCGGTCTGGTATAGATGCGGCTGCCCATCCGCATCGAAGCCACCTATTAGACAGGAGACGCCAAATGGACGTCGTCCATTGCTCTGCGTATAGTTCTGTTTCAATTTCGCCAAATATCTATCAGAAGCATCATTTTCAGGATCTGTTCAGATCATTTAAGTCACTCACCGTGTAATATACTCCACTGTTGCGGGTCGCTCAAAGTTCAGTCGATGGCTCTGAGCCTCGCTCCGGGCGCGATTCACCAATATGCGAGCATCGGCCGTGAGACCCGCAAATGTTATTATCAGATGATCATCCAGTTTTCTAATTTTACGCGCTGTACGCTCTATTTGCAGGGTATCCGCGGCCTTTTTTTCAACGCCCAGCACAATGCAGTCCTTCGTGCGCAGGCCCACCTGTGCCGTATAGTGAAAAAGGCCTTAAATTCATGGTAAACACCAAAAATAAAACTTGCCACTTGCCACTGTGGAACCTTTGCGCACCGCCTCTTGAGCGTATTCCACTTGCAGCAAATGTCCATCGGGCGAATATATTGTCACAGCCCCATCGTAACCGCCAGGCATTGTATAAAATATATGTTGAAGTGTATACTAAATGGAAATTTTATATTTTCTGAAAATGTTTAAGTCTTTTATCTCGAGTAAAGCAAATGTTAAAATTTTAATCAACATCGGCGCCGACAACTATGTTATTTTAGGGCTGTGAAGAAGTAAGAAAAGGTGATTTACAAAAACCTGTTGCATAGTGTTTGCATAGAAAGCAAGCCTCCAAGCCGATTGTTCTCCTCCTCAAAAGCTCTTTCCCTTTCATTACTAATATCAGTGAGCAGTAAATCCTCGCATATCCATTTTGTGGGTGGAGGGAAAAATATCCTCTTACTTTTTTTATGTAAATATGTCGATGCAAACATGGCGTGGCCATAATTGGTTGTCTTGGAGGAAGCATCACATATCCATTTTTACGCATTGCATCGGCTAAGTTGCAGATGCACCCTAGTCGCCGCCGAATTGATTCTGTTCAGAATCTGTCTTTTGTGTTTTTAAAAGCTATTAGAAATATATACATATCCCTAAACTGTTCCACTTAAAACTATCAGCAACAATCCAAAAATGAACATGCATCAAAAATTCATTAGCTGTCAAAAATAATTAACATTTAAGACCCATTTCAAAGCCCAAAATAGCTGCTAACCTAGTTTTGTCATCGTATCACGTGGCAACAAATGCTCCACAAAAGAAATCATCACAAAAGAGCAAATCTGTAATCGCCATCGAAATAGCTTAATTTTGCTAATGTGTGTGTCCGGCCCCTCCACGAGGGCGTTGCCCGGCCATCTATAGAAATGTTTAGTATGCCGCAAGCGTGTTGTCTGCCATAAATTTATATTTAACATTTTATGACAACCGTGCGCCGGAGTCCTTGTGACCAGGATTCGAATTTTTGGCGGCATACTTAGTTGAATTGAACACGTGCCAATGTCGCGTTGTCTGGCCCTCCTGAAATCCCAATCCAGATCCCAAACACGTTACCAAATGCGACAGCCAAACAAATGAATGCTAGTGGTATGGGAGATAAATAGAATTATACAGAACTATAATTATTTTATACTATTTCTATTTTGCTAACGTGCACCTGTGGCTATTTGACAGCATACGTTAAATTCGGTCGGAAATTCGAATTCTTATTGAAAACAACATTTGCCTGCGAGGTAAGTGCTAAGCGAATTAAGTATGTGACAAGGAAATCACATAACTAAATGTTAAATATAATAAAATAATTGTCAACAATTTTCAATGGCTGTAATTGAATGAACTATAAAACTGCAATTAATAATTGAATTATTAATTATTTTTATTAGATAGCGGCATGTATTAAAGTCATGTCACGGACAACTACAGACCGCTATAGAGCACATATATATATAAATATATTTGTTAAAGAGCCTGAGATATCTTCATATATGCAATTCACAGTTCATGTCAAGGCAATAGAACCGTCTACAATGTGGGGCTTACAAAATTATATTGTTTATATACAAATTAAGCAGTTGCAAATGCAACGATATGTAGATGCCTTCTGACAAACATTTCGTCTGAATAGAGTGCATAAGCTAGGTGTACTGAGAACAGATAACTAACTAACAGCGTCATGGAAACATTTCTTGAACGGGCAAGGTAAGGCTTCCCTTCCGAGCTGCTATTGGTATTCGAGAAACTTTTCATTAGAAACTACCAAGGCCAAGAGGTCTTGAAGTTCACTTAATATTCGCCTGGCATATTTATAAGTGCTTTTAAAGTGTTCATATGCTCAATATACCACTAGTATAAACAAATTTAGAAGCTTGAAAGCTTTTGCTTATTTTTAAGTAATTACATTTTATAACTGCAAAATACACACATTTAACTCAAGTAAAATGTTAATCACTTAATGGAGCCCACTAAGCAATTTAAATAAACATTTCTCAGTCATAGCTTAATAAGCAGCACTCCCATCCTAAAATAAAGAACGCCCTGGGCCAGAGAAACCAACTGAAATTAAGTATACGCAGCGTGCCCATGCCAATGGCATCTGATTAGGTACCATGAGCTCTAAATACAAGTAGTAGTACACATCGAACGCTGTCGAAAATATTTTCTCAAAAACACGAATTCGCCGCAGGGCAGCCACTCGAGTTCAGTAGGTGTATAGGGTCCATGGGGTGCCGTGGGGGATTGAGAAGCAGACAAGACATCCACATAAAACAAGCAACAGCATGAACAAACAGCAGTGAAATGCGAAAGTCTTGGGGAACTCAGCGCGATTTGTTTGCTCGAAGCTTAATTTGTAGCGGCAAATGGTGTTGATTGTTGTTTTTCTTACATCCTCATGCCACCCCTACGTTCACTCCAACCCAGCCCCGCCTCCTCTACGCATCCAGCCACCTTAGCTTAGCGTCCTGTGCGAACGCAGCTAAGGACCAATAAAAGTTAAAGGCGCTACAGTGGATAAGCACGACTTCAAGTATTGTTTCGAGCACTTTGGATGCCATCTCCCAGCTGCAATGCTGTGTCTGGAAATTAATGATCAGCAATGCAAAGCTCTAAATGGCAAGTGGTAGTTAAGCATTTGCCATTTATTTTACCACATATCCCCCGTAGCGAAAGTCGCGTGTTTTATATCACATGTCGAACATTATTTGATTATTAATTAAAAGCGTTCACTAATTTGTTTATTAGCAACAAGAACTTTTTGGAAAAATGAGGGGAATAAAACCAGCTGTTCTCAGCTTAAATTCTAATAAATTTTACACTCTGTTTTTATACGAATTTTGTGCATGTATTGCAGGGCTGTGCTCGCTTAAATTTTAACATACAGTTTTTCAACGATTTTCCACTTTTGAAGGTTTTTAATTTTTCACCCGTTTTCCACCTGTAAAAATTAATATGTGTATATTCACACAAAATCTATTTAATTAAACAAACATATTTATAAACTACTTCAATTTAAGTATTTAATTTTTCATCCATTTTCCGCCTGTGACGGTGGTTACAAATGTTTACATTCACTGTCTAAATTTTATATAAATTATATAATTATAAGAAACTTGAATGTTAATTATATAATGTCAAGTCTACATTTAAATAAAATCTTCTATATTATATACATGTTATATATTTATTAACTGCTTGAATGTTAACAGTTAATTTTCCATCCGTTTTCCGTCTTTACAGGTAAATATGCATATTTTGTCTTTTGCTGCCAAATATCAAGTCTTTTTTTAGATTCTAACTACAAATGTAACTTGTTACATGTATTTGACACAAACAAAAAAGTAGCTGACGCGGTCAAAATGCAAATGAACTTTAAAATGCAACGTCTATCGATCAGAGTTACCAACTCCGTAACCCACACATATACATAGTCATAGACTGGGCGGAACGGGACTCAAGCAGCTGTTGGTAGAACGGCAATTGCCCGGGCAACAGACACGCCTGGCAATCTTTAAATGTGCACGGTATACGTGTATGCGTGTTTGTTTGTGAGGGGTCTCGCTTAAGTAAACAAAGCAAGGTAGATAGCGTAGAGGGCGGACACTGATTCAGATTCACCTGCTGTTGGAAATGGCGTCCAGACATTTACCTGAGCCCTTTTAATAAACCTAGCAACGCGCAGCATTGTTGACTTTGTTCTGTATTCAGATGTTTCTGCCGCCCCTTGCCAACACCCCCTTAAGTGGCATTTAGTGTCAACGAACTGGTATATGGTACACAGACCCCAGCCCGACCTGTTCCGTCAGCTTGCCCACTTTTCAGTTATTAAGTCGTTTGTGTTTATAAACGAGCCGCCGACATGCGCCCAACTTGACAAACGTGAACGTAATGCGGTTCCATTCGCCCACAGCTGCTGTGCAGAACGCAGCTTATTACGAGCACACGCCCAAGTAGCAACAGTCCTGTCCAATTCCTGGCCAGTCATGTATCCATAACACCTCAGGCTGTGCGCCCAAGTTTGACAGGAACTATCAAAGTTTCCTGAAATGTGTCGAACTCTTAATCAATACGTGTGCTAAAATTCAATTAACCCAATACTTATACTCAATCTAATTGGAACAACTATTGCTGACTTCAACTGTAGCAAAAGTCTAAGCCGTAAATAAGTTTTGCCAATAGAAATGCTTAATTTGCTGTTAACGTACAAAGCAACCTTCTTTTGAAGAAAAATTCGGAAAAGCTGGCTGTGTAAATAAATTAACAAGAACAGGAACAAAACCTAACATCTATGTCAGATATAGTAAATATTATACCTTTACTTGAATGACATATAAAAATTACCTGTTAATATGTCATCATACGTTCCTAAACTGAAATGTCATGTTATCAAGAGCACCAACTTTTCAGTTTCAATAGTTTATTGAGCTGCATTGTGAGACTGACTAAAAGCTTAAAATTGCACTTAACAGCAAGCTTAAATAAAACTCAGAGCTCTCCAACTCAGCGTAAAGTGCAACCAATTGCTGTAAAGTGCAACGCAGACTGCAATCAGTCAGGCAGTCGAGCCCCCTTATCCTGGAGATACCCATTCGCGATATTGAGATGCGAACTAAAAGCCAAATGGCGACAAATGTCGCGCAAATTAATGGCAATAGCTACGCGGCGCTTCACGAGCATTGATAGATAAAAATGCTGCCTGAAAATGGAAAATGGAAATGGAAGTGAATCAACTCAGTCGAGAGTAAAAAGAAGTTTCACTAATGGTCAAGACACGTCAAATAAATTGTGAGTGCAGCTTTCGATTTAGTTGCAGCTCTCAAATCGCTTATGTCAAATTGAAGCTGCGAGCAAATCAGAAAATAAACCAAAATTGAAGGATCAACAAAATATAGTGTTATGGGAAATAACTTTTATGACTCATTTTTTTATACCCTGAACCCATTAAAAATGGGTATAAGGGTATATTGTATTTGTGCAAAATCCAAATGTATGTAACAGGCAGAAGGAAGCATCTCCGACCCCATAAAGTATATATATTCTTGATCAGCATCAATAGCCGTATCGATCTAGCCATGTCCGTCTGTCTGTCCGTCCGTCCGTATGTATGAACCTATAAGAGCTAGAGACTTGAAATTTTAGATGTAGGTGCCAGCGCAGATCGAGTTTGTTTCCGATAATC